ATCTTTCGATACTCGGGCTTGCTATGGATTCTTGGATGACGGATTTGTTCCCGCCCTTCTTTCTCGTGCTCGTGAGTTCCAAGGACCATTTCAACATTCTGCCCGCCATATCGGGCCGACCCAGGAGTTTCCTCACCGGTTGGTCGGTTCGCACGACGATTGTGTGGGCCAGAAAATAGTGTCTGAGTCTCCTCGCCGCGTTGACGAGGGCTAGAGCCACCTTTTCTATCTGTTGGTATCTGCTTTCGGGTCCTTGCAGGGCTTTGCTCGTGAAGTAGACGGGTTTCTGTCCATCGGTGGTTTCGCGGACGAGAGTCGCGCTGATGGCTTCGTTCGAGACGGCCAAGTACAAGTACAGTGGCTCCCCGTCGGCTGGTCGAGATAGTACGGGTGGTTGAGACAAACTTTGCTTTAGGTGGCGAAGCGCCTGTTCGCACTCCTCGTTCCATTCGAAGGTTGCTTCCTTACGAAGGAGTTTGAAGAAGGGGAGGGCGTGCTGAGCGGACCTCGCGACAAAGCGGGATAATGATGTGAGCATGTCGTTCATGATTTGTATCGACTTCTTTGACGTTGGTGTCGGGAGGTCGGAGAACGCCCGACATTTGTCGGGGTTGGCTTCAATTCCTCATTCTGTTAGGTAGAACCCGAGGAACTTTCCTGCCTTGACTCCGAACGTACATTTCTCGGGGTTGAATCTCATTTTACATTGTCTTGCTTGGGCGAAGACCGTCTTGAGGTGTGCTGCATGGTCGGTATCTGCTCGGGACTTGACGAGTCGGGGAGATCCTTGCCAATCTTTACTCCTTTGGTCGGGTCGGTGCCGAGGCGGACGAGCTCAAAATCCCCGTCCGGTATTGGTCGGAGTGGGACTTGCTCGTCGCTGGAAGGTTCGTCCTAGTCGAAACGAGTGTCCAGAGCTATGGAGTCGACCTTTGGTGGAGCTCTCTGGACTTCTTCCTTGGGGGAATCTTGCTTGTCGGGCTCCTGTCGCGTCCTTTTGGCGGACCTTGTTCCTATGTCGACAGTATCGCGTCCCTTAGAAGCGGCGTTGAAACACCTCCGGGCAGCGGCCAGATCTCCTTGGATAGTAGCTACCCGTGCCCTCTTGGTGTAGAATTTCATCTTCAGGTGGACGGTCGAGGGCACCGCTGTCAGTTCTGCCAGTGTTGGTCTCCCCAGAATGCAGTTGTACAGAGACGGGCAGTCGATGACGAGGAAATGTACTTTGACTTGTCTTGTAGCCGTTCCTTCGCCGAATGTAACCAGGAGCTCGACATACCCCCAAGGCTTGGAGGTCGAGCCGTTGAAACCTTGTAAGTCCGACCCCACGTACGGCGAGAGATGTGAGTCGTCCAGCTGTAGAGTTCGGAACAGTTGTCTGTACATCACGTCGACGGAACTCCCTTCGTCGACGAGGATGCGATGTACATCAAAATTGGCCATTCTCTCCCTTATCAGTAAGGGGATGAGCGCGTTCGGGGCTCCGCCGGGGAGCTCTTCTAGGTAGAAGGTGATGGGCTCTGACCTGCCCTTCACCCTTTCGAACGTCACTGTTTGCGGGGGAGCCGCGTCGACCAGCTCGTCCAGCTTCCTCTTAGCTGAATTGATGGTCAAGTCATTGAACCCTCCGCCGTTGATGACCATGGCGGAGGGGAAATATTCCCACCTGCTGTGCATTGTGAGAGGCTCCTGCAGGTGCTCGGGGATGTCGAAGTCCTCGGGCCTGGTCACGGAGAAGGCGGTCTGGATGGGCACCGACTCGTCAGATGGTCGGGCATCTTCCTCCGGCTCCCTAGTTTCTTGGGCGTCACGACGGGGAGCGTCGGTTCACCGGTACTGCGCGAGCCTCCCTCCCTTGATGAGGGTTTCGATGGCGTCCTTGAGGTGGACGCAATCCTCAGTCAGATGACCATGGCTCCTATGGTACTGACAATATTTGTTCTTGTCCGCTCCGGGCTTGGCGGGAGCAGGTCGGGGTCGTTTGACACCGCCGTCCTTGAAGTCAGTGCTGGCACACTCTGCCAGAATACGCTCGCGGGAAGCTATGAGCGGAGTGTACTCGGTGAAACGCCCCGAAGGTCCTCTTTGTTCCCGGACTTCCCAGGGTCTGTCTTCTTTTCTTTTCTCCCCGGTTCGTCGAGGAGGAGGAGCTTCATGGCGCGAGCTGCTGTTGGACCCGCGAGTCCTGGGATCTCGGGCTCTGTTGGCCGCTTCCCTCTCCTTGTAGTCCATGTATGCCCGGGCCTTCTCGAGGAGAGCATCGAATGTTCGAGGTGGCTTGATACCCACGGCCTTTTTGAATTCCGTGTCGGGGAGAAGCCCCCTCTCCAGCAGATATCTCTTCATATGGTCCGCGCAGGGGACCTGTATAGCTTCCCGGTTGAAGCGATTGATGAACTCCCTCAAGGTCTCATCCTGTCTCTGGATGATGGCCTCGAGGGCCGCCTCGGTCTTTGGATGTCGCCGAGAAGCTGTGAATGAACTGATGAACTGGTTCTTCAGGTTTCGCCACGAGGTGATTGAGCCCGGGGCGAGTCCTTTGTACCAGTCCATTGCCGCCTTCCTGAGAGTCGTGGGGAATAGTCGGCATTTGATGGGCCCCCCGACATTGTGGTAATGCAGCATAGCCTCGAACCCGTCTATGTGGTCGACCGGGTCCGCGACTCCATCGTACTCCTTCAAGTGCAGGGGTTTCTCCATGCCCGGGGGGATGGGTGTTTCCATGATAGCTTGCGACAGGGGACCGCGGGGGTCGTCCTCGTCGCTCCTCTCCAGAGACAGAGATGGGGACCTGTAATACTGTCTGGCACGACGTTCCAGGTCATGCTGAGTTTCTCTCGAACGGGATGCTCGGTGGTTGAATTTTACACGCCCGTCTCTGGAGTGCCTTCTTTCTTGTCTCGCCGGTTCGCGACTAGGTTCTCCGGCTTGAATGATGGGCTGCCTCTCCAAATAAGGTTGTTTCCCCTTTGGTCGGGGTGATTGGCTTCGAGAGGTATCTCTGTAATGTCTCCGCGGGGGAGACGGGAGTTGGGTTTCAGTCACTCGAGGAGGGGGAGTATGGGGCCTCCGATGCCTCCTCGGGGGTCTTCGTTCGTCTTCAAGCGCCCTTAGTCTTTCCCCTTGGGCGAAGATGAGATAATTTGTTTGATTAATCGCTACGAACAGCGCTTGAGTTGTGGCATCCGCCCCGGCGGGGACAGGGACTTCCTGGAACCGGGCAGCCCGGTAGTTCGCGAGGGCTACCTGGTCTTCTTCGAGTGGTGGAGGGACCGATGAAGATGACGCAGTAGCTCCGTCGCGGAAGGTTGAAGGTCCGGAGATAGTTGTCACAGGAATGGTGTTGTGGCCGGGGTTGCCGGCGTTGTCAAGGTGTCCGTTTTTGTCCGCGGTGCCGTTGTTAGTGTCGAGGACGCGGACATTCTGTTCATCGCGAGCTTGATCATCCATGACAGCGGTAGTTGAATTTGAGCTTTGGTCTTCGAGTTTTGCAAGACGGGGAAGCTAGTTTCCCACAGACGGCGCCACTGATCTAACCTGATCAGACTTGGACCGTCACGGCTGGCTCCGAGCTGAAGCTTTGAACGAGGTGGGGGGGGGGGTACCTGCAAGGCACTCCGATGCTGAAGTAAGTAAGAGCACGAGCAGGCAAGAGTATGAGTATGGGTAAAGAATGAATACCTGACCCTCTGGGAACATAGGGTATTTATAGCCCCCAGCGCTGGGCCAAGGTTCCTTCATTGGGCCGGGCAGGTTTGGCCCAATGGAGGAACTGCCAGGTTCTACGTGCGTAGTGGGGACCCGCACGTGGTCCCCTTCCTGGATGTCCTGCGTGAAGTACGGACGGACGAGAACGCGGTCTTTTCGGGATCCAGGTGATGGCATAGTGGATAAAGTCTGCCCTAGAAGGAGTGCTCGAGCTGGGGTCGAGCAAGATAGCATGGAGACAAGGACGTCGCACTAGCAGAGAATGTCGGGCACGGGCATGACCTTTTGGCCGGCGTGACCCCTTGCAAGACCGTTTAGATTGGGCCTTCACCATTGCTTTTGGGCCAGCCCGGCCCAGTCCAGAACAGTTAGTAATATGTAATAATAATAATAATAATTGATAACAATGAGAAAAGGAAAATGATTAGTAACAATAAAAATTAAAGTGGAAAAAAAAGACTAGAAAGATTGGTTCTAATTTTTAATTAAAACTCAATTTTTAAATTGAATTAAAATTAAACTAAATCAAAATAATTATTAAAATAAAAAAGAAATTTTAAACATAATCAAAGAGCAAATAGATCACAAAAATTGAAAATGACTTTGGATTAAGAATGCAAAAATGCAAATGGTATATGTTTTTTTTGAGATTTTTGAGACAATGATGCAAAAAATATAAATTTAAATGGAATTAATAAAAGACTTTTCTTTTTTAGATTTTTGAAGTAGAAATTAAAATAATGAACTGAAAACAAGAAAATATGTAAAATGATCGACTTTTCAAAAAGACCAAGAATATACGTCAAATGAAAAAGATAAAGAGCAAAAATGGAGTATGATAGTACCTAGTTTGACGAGTTAAGTAAAAATTCTATGTTTTATTTATCTTAAGTTGTAATTGACTCAATTGACTTTAAATATTTTTGCTGTCGAGCTTTGTTTCGTTTTTATTTTCAGATTTAAAAATACTTACTTCTCCATTAATATAACTTACTTTGAAAGAGAAAAAAAACTATTTTTTTTTATTTCCTTTTTTCTATTCTTAAATATAACTACTAAAGTCACCCACAATACTTCTGTCACATCCCTTTGGCATAGCACGTTCTCTAGACGCGTATATTATTATATACTACTTTCCACTCCACAAAACCTAGGAGATTCTTTAAATATAGCTAAGTCACCCACAATGCTTCTGATGTTACAAATTTAGTAAGATAAAATATATCCTAATGATTTGCAATTTATCATTTATTCAAAACAAGAAAACAAAATAATACTAATATTTGAATCATTTAAATGGATTCAAGACCTTGAACAAAAAGGGTTGAAAAAGCTTCCATCTCATGCTTGTCCAAAGCAAAACCAATCTCAATTCCTCCATTGTGATTCTTACTCTCACTAAGAGAAAATGCACCTGTTTTATCAGTTGAAGCCATATCAACTTTCTTTGGCTTTCCAAATCCAAAATCAATATCATAAACATCAAACCTTGGTGATCCAGCAGTAGAATATATTTTATAACTCTCTTTAGGGTTTAAAAAATCATGCAGCCAATTTTCAGCTCCATCTAACACTCCATTTTTCACTTTATTCAAACCTTCATCGATCCCTTCTAAGGCACTTAAAAATCCATCTTTTTCAATTAACTTCTTTGTCTCAAGCTCAATCTTTTGTACTGCAATACAATTTCCAAAATACATAGAAGAAATTGAAGGTTCCAATCTTGTTCTACAGTCCACACTAAATATGAGACCCACTTTTTCATCCTTTGGTTTTTCTGCTTTCGCTAAACTTGATATCACATAAGCACATGTAACTGAAAATGTTGACAAATTGATAACATTCATTTTCATCTCATTTTTTGCATGGTTCTTAAGCTTTTGAATATTTGAAGGTGACAATTCAAATAAACTTTTAACTGCATCATCTTTCAACCTACCAGGAAATTCCCAAACCTTGAGACTTTTATTATTTGGTCCATAATGTTTCATCAAAGCATCAACATATGCTTCACTGATTCCACTATAATGATCTTCTATCACCGATCTATCAAAATAAGGTGTTAGATTTTCAAGGTTAGGGTTAGAGCATGTAATATAGGACCATGATTTCATAAAATTGGTTGAAGATTTTCAATCAAAAGCAGCATGGTGTGTGGTTATTCCAATGCAAAAACCATTGTTTGGAAACAAAGTGACTTGAATTGAAATCAAAGAAGCTTTTTCATGTGAAGTTTTCAAAAGAGGTATCAAGTGATGTCTCTGTGAAGCTTCACAGTGATTAGAAGAAAGATCTTTGAAACTTCCTTTGGACTCAACAACAATAAAGGAAACAGAATCGCCGTGAGCATAGTTTATGATTGGTTTTGATGACTCAATAGGCCAAATTATGTTGCCGGAAAGAGGGAGAAAAAGTTGAAGTGTGAGTGAAAGTGATTTTTTGAGATTTGGAACAAGAGTTTCATAGAAAAAAGAGGGTGAGTTTGTGAGTTCATAAAAGAAGAGACGTTGAACAGGTGGAAATCTTAACCATAGAAGATCAAAGAAAGTTAATTGAAGTGAGGTTGGTAATTGAGAAGGTTCATGAAATGGTTCAACATTGGAAACTTCAATAGTTATGGATGATTGTTGTTGTTGTGCCATGGCCTAATTGAAGCACATGTGCATGGTATAGCAACGATTGTCAAAACATTAATATATACAGTTTATGGTATAGCAACGATTGTCAAAACATTAATATATACAGTTTAATTGCTGGCAAATATTCGTAATCATACATGTGTGACGAATCCAAAAAAATTAGGTATAAGATTTGTTAATATATATATAAGCTGGCCAGCATTACTTAGTCAATAATGCATTCTCTCCCTGGATTACTAAATTAATTAATTAAAGATTAAATAAGCTAGTGGTACTTTTTTTTTAATTCATGAAAATTTTTCCTTTAAACAAAAGTTGCTCTAATATTTTAAGTTCACATTTTTTTTATCTCTCATAACATTACAAATGGAAGAAAGATGTTGACATGACATTGCCACAGGATAATTATTTTACCATTTTATATTATTATTGTTTGTTAACTATAGATATTAAATTTGTTACTAAATTTATCACTAAGAAGAACATCATACTTAAATTTAGAAATGATAGTTAATTTATCACTAATTTCAAATCAGTCGCTAATTCAAATATGTTATTTTTCAATTATTTTGATGCTAAAGAGATACTTATAATGATTAGATTTTGATTTTTTTTAATGATTTTTTACATAAAAGTTTATCACAATATAAGTATTTACTTACACATTTGAGTTTTTTATTTTAGATTAGATAAATTAAATATGAATTTTTTAAACCTTGATTTATCATGAAATAGAAACAACACAAATTTTAGTCTACTATTGAATTTTAAACTAATTTTTGTAAAGATTTATCTCAAAACACATATGAAAAATCTGAGTTATAGACTCTTAATAAATCTCAATTTATTTTAATTTTTAAAATGAAACACATATAAATGAATTTCTTATAAAGAGACAGAAACAACATAAATATATACCTACACATCACATTTTAATTTGATCTAATTTTTTCTTTTTGCTGGAATTCCTATGAAAAAAATAAGAGTAATTGCAAAGTTTTCTAACATTATTTTGATTTTTCGAATGTCAAATGTTCAAGAGATAAAAATAATTCACTACAAGAAAATTTATTATTACCCAAGACCAAGAACTTTCATTAAATAAAAAGTCGTGGAAAATGTTAGATTACCGAAGGTGTATCAGCCATCATGTAGCCGTCGATAAAAGTCTCTTGATAATACTTACTAATGGTCATATCTCTCAAGAATATTACCTACGGTTATTCCAACTACCCAATGTAAAGTTTATAAATATTGAGATACGTTACCTATAACTAAGCCGTTGGTATTGAATTTATTTATGTTGACATCGTTGAATACATTAAAAGTATTTCAAACATAATAAAAAAATAAAAATTCAATTTAATATATAAATATTTTTATAATATTAAAATATGAACGGGATAATAAACTATAATATTACTTGTTTTGCAGTTGTGAAATGTTAGTCATCTTCACATTAAAACTTAAAAAATATATAATCTATGCTTAATATTTATAAACGTGAAACATCCAATCACATGTTCACTACTATAAATAATATATTTTATAATAAAATTTTATCTATTATAAATGAAGTTTAAATAATTTGGATCGAGCCATTTTTTAATTTAAATTTTTGTCTTTCAGTTTTATAAAAAATCGATAGAAAATATAGTTTGGAGTTTGAGCTTCAATTCTAAGCTCCTGCAATTTCATGCTTTATTTAGAATCAAAATAACACTCTTATTTTATAAATTATCTTATCCCTCGATTTTCTAAAAAACAAACATAAAATGTTGATTAATATTTTTTTAATTAAATTGATTTTTTTTAAAGTGGTGTTTTTCTTTTTATTTTAATTTTATTTAATTATTAAATAATTTATTTCATCGGTTTCTCTAATAACTGAAGGGTATAACTCTCGTATTTAACTATAAAAGAATTCGTTCACAAAGTTTTACCCTAAACCTAATTCATATATACAGTCATTCCGTACTCGTAAGCATCATCCTTTGGGATGGATTGCAAGACAAAAAAATTCTTTTGTTTTGGGTTATTGTTCTTCTAACATCAACCTTTAACAAATTATTTTTCTATTTTTACAATCTATCTCACATAATGACGTAGTTTTTGTTGTTAGTGGTGGTGGTGGTGTTTTCACCTTTTGCCAATATTGAATGGTAAAAAAATTATTATATTTTAGAATAACTCCCCAATATTGTCAATCGTAGAAAACACTATATAATATATTTTTTTCTTAGGTTGACATTATTGAGAAATTTATTTCTAATCATACTGCAATTTGTTTTGAATGTAGTATGTTGTTTGATTATTGTAACACACGAATAAATTAGTGAATGGTAAAAAAATTGAAAAAGAAAACAATACATGTTTCTTTCGATAGTTTCCATTCACCATTTTTTCGCAATAGATATAATTTATTACCTCGGTTTATTTAGGAACTGAGGGGAAAAGTCCATATTTTAGTTTATTTTTTATCTAAAAAGAACTAACATTTACCCTCGATTTTACAACAAAATAGGAGGAAAAAGTAAGACAGTTTTGTCTCAATATATCTTTGTCGTACATATATAAAGTAACAACGTTCAAGATATTGTCAACAAATCAATCCACAAGAAACTTTGTACATCCAATCAGAACGCAAACACCATCACTATATATATTGGACGCTACATTGTGAAACTACAACATTGATAATGAAAGAATTTGTCATGAAAATAGTGAAACTTAAAGAAGATTGAAAAGATTTTTGTGATGAATTGCAAGAGCATAAACAAAATTTGGTTCTAGGTTGGTTTTCTTACCAAGTAACTGAAAATCTCTTATCATGTAATTGAATTTTTTTTATTTATCTTAATCCTTTTTTATTTTATACCAGAAATAAATACATGTAATATCTAATATTTGTTCTTCTCCAAGATTTAATAAAACGTTGATGTATCATTTGATCTTCACTCTAGATTGACAGTAATGACGACAAATCAGATTCAAAATTTGTCAAACATTTGTACTTGTAGATTGAAACCAAAACAATGTAAAATAAGAAACTTTGTAGGTTAATAAAACAAGGTATATATTTCATACCAGCCAAAGACTTGATGTCGCAGCGTGAAAAATACCTGAGCGTAAGGAACACTAGAAATACAACAGAGACGCCACCGAAGTTTATTTATTACAAAGGAAAATGGAAAATATCGATAAAACCCTAAAAATGAAATATGGATGTTGCAATAAAATTAGGGTTTGGTAGTCGGTATTAACACGTCTCACATCTGTTGTACTCAACAAAAACAAATTAGTTAGTTTTGCAAAAAAGTGTTACCGTATGTTAATTGATTTCTTCTACTTATTGCATGATATTTACAGAAGAAAGAAAAAGGAAAATTTTAGGTTTTTTATTATTGTGTCCGACGAGACGTTGGATGTCGCTCCTACGTATCCTCTGGTGGGATGGGGAATTCAAGGCCACGTAGTTCTTAGTATAAAAGAACTGTGTGTTGGTTGATTTTAGTGAAAGATGTTTATGTTGCATTCTAGTGGTTAAACGTTTCTTGTATGCTCGCGCGTGTGAGGCTTAAGCGTTTGTTTCGCGGTAGAATGGATGAACATGTTTTTTTGTAAAAAATTTATGGTCGTGTGGAAGCGGGAAAATTTAGGTTTGATTGGTTGAGATTGATTTTATATGGAGACAAGTAACCATTTAAACAAGGTGTGTGCACCTTGCGCTTGTTTACTTAAGGTTTCAAAAGGATGTGCATCCAATTGTTCTTTTTTATCATTGTTGGGTTTATGAAAAAAATATTTGCGGAATATGAGTAACTGTTTCGAACAAAGTGTAAACTTTGAAATCGTTTACTCGTGGTTTCAAAAGGATTTGTATTCAATTGTCCCATATATTCCAAGTTTAATTATGTATTTTGGGAAGAAAGGCTAATAATCATTTTGAACAAAGTGTACACTTTGAGCCCGACAATTCAAGGTCTCAAAAGGATGTTCATCCAATTGTCTTTTTTCAATTCGAGTTTATTGCAAAAAAGATTTGAAGCGTGTTCGATTAAACTTGAAAAATAGACTTGATGTTGATCAAGTGTTTGATTCGCATTTGATTTGAAAAGTTTTTTATTGTGAAAATGCAATTAAACTTGACTTAATCAATTGAATAAGGCTAAAGGTAAGGCGAGTTATAAAACTTGTCTCAATGCTCATTTTTATCTCATTTCATCATAAAAGACAGAAGGGAAATTTGACAATGAATGTTCAATACACAAGAAAGATATAAGAAGAAGTGAGAACCATCTTATGCTGACACAACAAAGGATACCTAACATCAGCTTAACATCAGATGAAAAGGTCTGCATTGAGATTCAAGTTGGGTAGAGAATGTTGAAGGAATGCACTAAGGATGTCACAACATTGGTCTTGGGTCATCTAAGTGAAACTAATATAAGAAATAATGTTGCTCGATTGGACAAGTCAAATATCAATGATGGTTTCCATTGAAATTCTAGTGGTCATCAGATGTCATATATCCTAAGAGATGTCGAGACACTGAAATCTGACTTCATTATAATGGAAAGGTATGAACAACATAAACAATGCTGAAAAGTAAAAGCACACACAGAATTGTTAACCCAATTCAGTGTATAACAATACCTACTCTGAGGGCTACCAAGCCAGGAAGGAAATCCACTAAATAGTATCAATTCCAAGCTAAACTCTCTCGTTTACAACTTCTCGCTTAATCACTACTCGTGCTATATTTCTACCTAAGACTCACCTAGGTATGAGACCCCTCTCACTTCCCTAACAGTTACAAACAATGACAAGAACACAGAGTTACAAACAGTGACAAGAACACACAATCAGAAACAGTGACAAAAACACAACTTAAAGACTTAGAAGACAATCTTCAAGAACACACAATCACTATATACTTAGAAGTTTAAGAATGATTGACAATCAAGAAGGAGACACCCTTCAACAAATAGAATTCACTCTTG